CGTTTTCCCATTTAGATGGCATTGCAGCGAACGAAAAAGATCTGATGGTGCCATATTTGGAAAATACACTTCTTGTATTCAAACAGCATTACATGTCGGATGTGTGTCTCGTTGTGTGCTATCACTATAAGGAATTAGAGTAAACTAAACTTTGCACGTTATATAGGCTACACTAACGTGACGTTTAGGTGGTTCGTTTAACTATTATACGTGATGTACGTTTTTTGGAGGTGGTTAATGAAAGTGTTCCAATACGTGATATTAATTTCTTGACGACCTAATATTTATTATTAGTTACAGGTAAATACTAGCCCTAATGACGGTAACTGTATTACCGAAACCAGTCGGCTGTAACTAATAATAAATGTTTTATCTTTCATTGTGCCAAAAAACGTTGGTATTTGTGTGCGTTTTTTTTTTGCTATTAATACAACGTAAGCTTACCAGAAAAAAGAAAAAAAAGAAAAGAAAAATGGAGGACCGAAGGAAACCTCTATAGAAATGGTCGAGTTATTAGTCTAGCAAGTATGGTTGGTGCAATAAAAGTTTCACAAGACAGAAATTAGTGGCGCCACCTTGTCCTTATACCATGTGAGATACGACGGTGGTAGAGGACAGAATAGGAATAATACTATTGAAATAGTGATTTTGCAAGTGAGATTAATTGTCGTTATTATAACCTTTAATATGATTTAAGCAATTATATTGGTCATTCGTACGATCATATTAAACATATTAGTTGTAAATTATTTTATAAAATGAAGTGGATAAAAAATACGGGTACTTCTGAAAAAAACATATACGTCATGAAGTATTTTTTTAACGAGTGGTTTTGTTTATTGTCAAATGCAATTAAAGATCAATAAATTTCTTTGTTTGTAGTTAAGCACAAAGGTACATATTGGGCTATGTGTGATGTGTCCACCACGGGCACATAGATTTTAGTGCTATAAGCCTTCAGACTTACTGCTGTCTCATTGGAGCAGATCAATAAGAATGGACGAAGTTCATATAATATAAAAATAATATGTTTAGGTTTGTTTTGTGTGTTGACTCTGACCAAAGAGGAGTATTTTCACGACGAAGAAGCTCGAAATTATAAAAATAGCACTGATATAGCAATAGATTCATTTAGTTACAGTATACCATTCTCTTAATTATAAAATAGCGCCGATATAGCAGTAGATTCATTTAGTTACAGTATATCATTCTCTTAATTATAAAATAGCGCCGATATAGCGATAGATTTATTTAATTACAGTATATCATTCTCTTGATTATAAAACTTGGTGAAGTAACATAGTTCTTGTATATAAATATACAACAATGACTATAACCCTGCTTTGTGAAGTAACATAGTTCTTGTATATAAGAATACAACAATGGCTTTTACCCTGCTTTGTGAAGTAGTGTAGTCCTTGTATATAAAAATACAACAATCGTTTTTAACTAGCTCAGTGAAGTAGCATAATCCTTGAACACAAGTATATAAGAATTGTTACATAACTGATTAGTAAGGTATTTGGGTATAAATATAGAATTTGTGATGTGACGTTAGCTCTCATTCTAAGTTTGAGTACAGCGTTTAATATCTGTAACGTTAGTGAGCGTATTGTAGGTAAATGAATCTGTTGCTATATCAGTGCTGTTTTTATAATCAAGAGAATGGTATACTGTAATTAAATGAATCTATTGCTATATCGGCGCTATTTTATAATCAAGAGAATGGTATACTGTAATTAAATGAATCTATTGCTATATCGGCGCTAGCAGGGTTATAGCCATTGTTGTATACTTACATACAAGAACTATTTACTTCACCAAGCAGGGTTATAGCCATTGTTGTATACTTATATACAAGAACTATTTTACTTCACCATGCAGGGTTATAACCATTGTTGTATATGTACATACAAGAACTACATTACTTCACCAAGCAGGGTTATAGCCATTGTTTTATTCTTATATACAAGAACTATGTTACTTCATAAATCTAGTTCCTAACAATTCCTGAGTGATCCTATTCATAATGGGTTAGTACGATTTTCAATAAAATAAGTACTTATATCTATTTGAAAACTGAACCTCACATCAAACTTTGGATATAAAAACTACGAAACTATAGACACTGACGTATCTCAAAATCAGTTTAACACACCAACATACTTACTGATAAGGGGGGATTACTTTAATCCAACTATTAAGAATTAAACACAACAAACTAAATGGGATTGTTCTCAACTTGCAGGTTATGTCCATTCATATTAACTACAGAGCTATGAAAGGAAAGCTTTTGTAGTCTAAACTTTTACAAATTCATTGTAATAAAACTTTTACTTCACAAGATTTTGTCAGTTTGAAATATAGGGCTTATTAAAGTTGTTAGGGTAACTTGTTAAAAATTAAAATTATACTAAACTTTCGAAGACTAAAACCTTCATATTCTCTGTCCTTTTGAAAGTAATATATACAGTTTTACCTTGTATGGATCATATCTATATAACATAGGATGCAGTAGCTATGGCGGGAAAATCTTCTATTTAGAGTATCTGCTTTTATCAAAGCAACTGTGTATTTATCCTTATAGTCTAGCAGTAGAATTTATCTACAGCTCGTAGTGATTACTCATTCACGAAAAATATCAAAGTTTACAGGACACACAATAGAAAAAGACAGTTTTATTTTAGCGTAACTTAAAATTTGTTTGTAAGCTCACCAAGACATTTTTGTCCTGATTGTGTGATTTTGTAGCAATATGGTTACTGTCATGTAACGTATTAATAACGTAGTTTAGCTCCAACAATAACCTTCACTCTGCTACTATGTTCCAAAGTTATTAAACGAAACACTGAACTAACAATGTTCCAAAATTATGAAATAAAACACTGAACTAACAATGTTCCAAAGTTATGAAAAGAAACACTGAACTAACAATGTTCCAAAATTATGAAAAGAAACACTAAACTAACAATGTTCCAAAGTTATGAAAAGAAACACTAAACT